TTAATTTGAGACATAATAACTTCAAAGGAAGCATTCCTACTGTTCTGGGGGTATTGCAATACTTACAAGACAAATTGGATTTAAGTGATAATTCATTTGTTGGGGCAATACCAAGCCAACTTAGTGGCCTGACCATGCTAGAAACTTTGAATCTTTCAAACAATGCACTTACTGGTTTGATCCCATCATCATTTAAGAGAATGGAAAGCTTGACATTGATTGATTTATCTTATAATGAATTAGAAGGGCCAGTACCAGAGAGTAAGCTCTTCCGAGGAGCTCCAATCCAATGGTTCATGCATAATAAGATGATATGTGGTGTTGTGAAAGGATTGCCCCTTTGTAGTAGTGCACCTCAGAATGGAGGGAAAATGAAAGGATACAAAACAATTGCACTAATCATGGTTACTACTACGATATGTCTTGTTCTTGTTGTATCTATATTGGTGTTCCGACATGGGAGGAAAAAATCAAAGTCAATTGTCAGTTCTAGAGTTACACAAGAAAACATATTCTCTATTTGGAGTTTTGATGGGGCAAATGTGTTCAAGCAAATTGTGGAAGCAACCAACAATTTTAGTGAGACACATTGCATAGGAACCGGGGGATATGGATCTGTCTACAAAGCTAGAGTTTCAACATGTGAAATATTTGCGGTGAAGAAGATACATACGACACAAGATGACTGTTGTGTGAACGAGGCAATGTTCAATTCTGAAATAGAGGCATTGGTGCGGATTCGACATCGAAACATCGTCAAACTATTTGGGTATTGTTCCTGTAGAAAAGAAAGGTTCCTTATCTATGAATATATGGAGAGAGGAGACCTAGCAGAAATATTGAGATCCAATGCAAGAGCAATCGAGTTAGACTGGAGAAGGCGGATACATATTGTACTGGACGTGATTCATGCTTTGGCATACATGCATCATGATTGTTCATCACCAATAGTCCATAGAGATATAACGAGTAACAACATTTTGCTTGATCTGGAATTTCGAGCTTGCATTTCGGACTTCGGTACTGCTAAAATTCTCGATATTGATGGCCAAAATATCACAAGGCTTGCGGGGACAAAAGGCTATCTTGCACCAGGTAAACAAAAATCAAACCTTAACAACTAGATTTTTGAATGTGATGTATTTTGATCATTATGATGAACTTTGATCAATTTATTTGCAACACATACATATGCTAATTACATTATAATAATTGCAGAGCTAGCATATACAGAGAATGTGACGGAGAAATGTGATCTATATAGCTTCGGAGTGCTTGTTTTGGAGTTATTTGCGGGATGCCATCCAGGCGATTTGCTCTCATCCTTCTCGTTGAGAAGCAAAAATAATGATGTTTACCTAAAGGATCTGCTGGACTTGAGGCTCGTGCTACCAGATGCCGCAACCACTAGAGAAATATACTCCATGCTTAGTGTTGCAGTTCAATGCCTTGAGCCGAGTCCATCACGCAGACCAACGGCATGGCATGCCCGTGATGAGTTATCAACGATTAAAGCATGTGCAAATCATATTGATTTTATACATGCTAGGCTTACCATTCCTACACAGTAGTGCCTATGTCTATGGATGATGTGATTGTGCCATGTAGTTTCTTCTCTACCACCTCCGTACTTGCTTGGAAAGCATAGTGAACTTGAACTAGTGTAAGCATCTTAGTACCATAAACCAGTGTATAATTGTTGTTAATATTATACAATGCAGGATGTAGGGTTTTACCTCATCACGAGGGCCTGAACCTGGGTAAAACATCGTGTCCCTACTTCTCCTGTTACCATGTAGCTCAAATCACCAAGTTTGGGACCCCCTACCCGAGATCTGTCGGTTTTAGCACCGACACTACCCCAAATCCATACGAAACCATGCAAACGTTGTTCCTATGTAGATCAACATAGAAAGTAGAAATCTGGCATAGAGTACATATAAACATAATCCGATTGGACATAGAAACTTAACACAGTCCGATCAAAAAGTGCCTGCCGCACGAGTTCATCACTTAACTACTTAAAGTTCATCACTTAACAACTTAATACCATTGAAGATAAGAGGTTCCATGTAGGACCAGCTCCAAAGGAACTTTGTGCAATTAAAAATCAGAGGCGGATCTCACCTCTTCCTCGCCGGGCGCTTCTTCTTGGGGTCTCGGCGGCTGGACTCGGGGTAGGCGTGGGCGTCTCTGAGCGCGTCATCATCGTCATCGCTGTTCGAAGCGGAGGAGGAGGACGATATGAAGATGCCCGCCGTGCGCCGGGCTGCGCGGGTCTGCTCCTCTCAGAGCTGAGGTCGTCTCTTCACCGTCGTCGCTGGCTGCATTGCCAACCGCTCTGACTCCTGGAGCGCCATGCAGAGCACCTTTGCATTTTTGCAGCGACGACGACGGGCATCCGTCTCTGCGGAAGTGTAGGAGCAAAAATGGTTACAATGTCGGCATGGTATCTGCTGTTCTAGTCCAGCTCTAGCCTCAAGTCCACAATGTCGGCAGTGCACTTTCCATCTATGTCTTACAGTCCTTTTTTTTTTTTGGCATGAATATACGAGGGCAGCAATATCTGTATATGCATGACTCACAAATGATCGTTTTTGTAACAGCAATATGCAAGCACAGTGAGCGTGCTACAACATGATCGTATCTACTAAATATATACATTTGCGAAACATGTCGGCATGCCTTTGAACAGTATCTGAAGCTCAATATCAAGTGTCCATGTCTAACCTTACGTGGAGTCCAACTTTCCAGCTGGAATCAAACAGATCACTGGCGTCCATCGAGTCCAACTTTTCAGCCGGAATCAGACTTTTTTGCCTTCCCATGGACCTGTGCGGACGACCTGTCCTTCCCATGACTGGGGTATGCCAATTTGCTGATGGTGAGTCTTTAGAGCAAGTACAATAAGGTGATGTAGGCGGGCTGTAAGACATTAAATATTATATTCTTGTTTATTTGGAAGAGAGGGAAGAGAAGCAGGCTACTAGTTAACAGCCGGCTGCAGCACGTGCTCCTAGGTACTTTGTGAGAGAGTGAGGTGGGCCATGTATCAACAAAATAGTACATATTTATATCTAGCTATTGTACTTGTTGGCTATAAACTTGACTATATGTGACATGACAACATCATATAGCCGGCAACTGGCTATATTATTAACCATGCTCTTAGCAGTACACTCCACGCAGCAAACGAGGACTGACTCAAACCGTAGGTGGAGGTGTCTCAAGACTCAAGAGTCGTGTGTGGGAGCTACACCTATGAAAATGCTATGGATCGTGAAACTGATATAAGATGACTCCGTGACGTTTCACTGGCATAAACAGAGAACAAGTTCCTACCATGCAAGTCATGGCGACCTCCCCTCTCCCCACACTCATCTCACTCGCTCTCCTACTAGCCACGTTTTCACCAGCCATATATAAAGTTAGTATAAAGTTGAGTCATCTATTTAGGAACGGAGTGAGTATTGATGTATTATTTTGTAAGGTCTTTATGAATTATTAATAAAGTGGCTGCATGCATCTTTGAGATGCAGAGGCCGGAGGTCATCCTCCTTTTCTAAAAAAGGTAAATTAATAAAAACGACTGTATGCATCTTTGGGTGTAGAGGCTGGGAGTTTCAACTTCCCTCTGGAAAAAGTGACTTTTCAGCAGAAATCAGACTTGTTTTGCATCGGCGCACGACCTGTCCTGATCGCGCGTGCTACAATATGATCATGTAAGAGGTTCACAACTTTATATATGGCCATAGCATTTTCAACAAAAAGGGAAACACTACCGTTCCCCTGGCGGATGAAGATTCGCGCATCAACCGTCTCCGCAGCCGTCAGAACGATGTGCAATCATCTCCAACCTTTGCAACTTGGCTCTTGTTGCAAAGCAAAAAGTGCAACAAAGTGCTTGTTACAAAAGATTGTTTGCCACGTCCAGCACTCAACCAGCCTCATATGTGTGCCACGCGTCCCCATGGGCCCCTTCCTGTTCCTTATCTCTTACACAGCAAATGTGAGCCACTTTTTTCTTCATCCTTTTCTCTTTCCTCCCTTTTCAACGCATCTAGCACACCATGAATCATGCCGGCCATCACCACCTCCCTGCCGCGGCCCCAGGAATCGGGGCCTCCGTCTCAACGCGACCTCGACAGCCGTCCTTCACGCCGCCCCTACTAGCCCCACTTCAGCGACCTACATGCTTCGGGATGGCCACCAGTAATGTTTGCAACACCCTCCTCTACGCCTCCGGGTCCCGGCCTCTAGCACCATCGTCATGCCCAGCAAGAGGTCAGGGATGAGTTTCTGCAACAAATTGCGGTGGAGAACGACAAAGGGGATTATATTTTCTACAACAAGCCTCTTGTTGCAGAGGGTCAAGCGCAACACTATATTTGTTGCAAAGGGGGCAATAACAAATGTTCTTTTTCCGCATCAGGGAGTCTTGTTTCTGAAACATAGGCCTCGTTTCAAAGAAAAAATATGGTTCGGTGGGAGCGCAACAAGGCTTGTGTTGCAAAGTGTCGAGCGCAACATGGGTCTTATTGCAAAGGCCCGCTCACACTCATGGGAAGAAGATCAGAAAGCTTCCGAGCTTGCCATCCAACGGCTACCGAGATGGCTAATATTTTCTAAACATCACCCGGCCGATGCGTAGCATGCTCCTTTCAAAAAAGAAAGACATATAGTATCCGCTTTGTAGACAAGAGCATAGTTACCAGCCTGGATGGATGGGCCGATAAGAAAAACCAGAACCAGCTCCTTTTGTAGAGTTTTGTATACTTCAAGGATGGTTTCCTCCAGACAAAAACTCTTTTTAACTAGATCCAAAATGATACCATGGTTGATAGTTGTACTGTATATGACTTTGATAGAACATACCAGTACATCGATAATATATATGTACGTACTTTCCTAGGTTTACATGGCAAGAGAGATTATTGAACACCGGGACAAGTAAATGAAAATGAGAGCTTATTCAAGCCTTTGGAAGGAGGGTCGATCCACTACGGGCACTTGAGCTTGCCGGTCTTTGAGTCGACCAAGTTGGCGTAGCAGGGGCATTCATTACGGGTCTCCTGGCCGGTGCCGGAAGGGATGCAGTTACACTTGTCGCAACAAATATTGCAGTCCTTGTTACATATCTTGTTCCTCCAGTTCTTCGAGCAACGAGCATTGCATGCTGACAGGCAATCTGCAGATCATACGACATGGAATCCATTTGTCAAGATACCATCAAATTAAACGAGACAAATTAGGTTTAGTTTGTTGATCAAGGATACGTGCATGCTTCCATGTACCGATGTGCCTACCTATATGTGGTGTCTGCTGCGCATCCGTAGGAATGACGAGGGCGGTGAGGAGGAGGGCGGCGAGGACGATGACAGGCTTGCAGGACGCCATGGATGCAGCTTAAGAGACAGATTATGTACGACCTATATGAATTAATTTGTTGATCGAGCTACTGATGTGTCACCCTATATCTACTCATATATATATACCAATATAAAAAAGACCCAACGAGACATATCCTACTAATCTTGGCCATCAAACCAGGCCAATCCAATGGCCTAGATTGCTCCAATGATAAACTCTCAACATATTTAGCATGCAGTTATTATCATACCAAACATAGCTCTAATAAAAAAATTAACACACAAATAATACTTACCTAATATCCATGTGAAATTAATATAATGCCTAATGTTAACGTGCATTACAAGTACACAATTACTAATACACATGAAAAGCAGAAACTAATTATAGGGGTAATAAAATTAGGCTAATCATGTAATGTCTGATTTTGACATCTCATTATTGATTCATGTTTTGGAGCATACGTATATTGGGCTTAAAGAAATTAGAATTGTCTAAACCTATATAAGCTTGCTGCAGATCAGACAATAAATTCGATATACTCATGCGATATGTGAGCATAACCGCCACATAAAAAAAGTCAAAGTTTGGAATGTGAATTTCTTAAGTCGGGTAAACTAAAAAAATTCTTGTGATGCTTGAGCCTATCTAGATTTAGTTTTTAGGTTGCTTTGGGGCACAGAGATAGTTTTGGAATTATTTAAAACCTTAAAATCATCTTCGGACAATACTTATATTGCCAAAATAGAACTCACACATTTAATATAGGTAATTTATATATATTTTTGGGGATATAAAATATTTTTCCCAAGTCTCAACTATTAATTTAGTATTTTTGAACTTCTGTAAAAAATTCCAAAATTCAAAGTAAAAATGGAAAAAAAAGAAAACAGAAAAGAAAAACCAGACCTAACCTACATAGCCCGGCTAATCCTGAGCAGCCCACAACTAACCCTAGCCCACGTGCGCTTAGCGCAGCCAGCTGCGGCCCAGCCCCACCCCACAGCTCCATCCTCCTCTCTCCCACAGAGGCTGGACACCCAAGTATAATTTCTTTCTTCTTGTTATTAGCCCCCCACCCCGTCCCCAAAATTTATCCAAAGAACTAACCTGTAACTTTTAGAAAGAAATGCACCAATGACCATTGATTATTACAGTACATTGTTACCTATTTTTCTACATTGATTTGTGACGTGAAACATTTGATTTTTCATTTTTATTCTTCAGATGCATATACAGCGAATGAAAAGTAAACAATATGGTTAAATGCTAAGTTTTGTAAAAAAAATTATGAACAATAAGGTTAAATGGTTTACCAAATGATTCAGTTCTTGTCCGTCGTCCAGCCACATCACATTCACCTCACATGATTCCATCTTTGTTGGTTCCTTCTTGTGGTAAGAAAAGGTATAGTACAACTATTGCTATTCTTTTCTGGTATAGTTTACCTCCTATTCGAATTATTCTCCTCCAAAGAAAACTTATAATTTTCCTAGAAATGCGACGATAAAAGAATAACTCAATTATACTCTTACCTATTTATTTTACATTTATTTATGATGCCAAAGATCTGATTTGTATACTATATGATTTTTGGATGCTTATGCGGTGAATTGAAGAAAAAATTGGGTTAAATGTTATCTTCGGAAACAAGAAATGATTTATTGCTCATTTTTGTCATCTGGACAGATCACATTCACCTCACACGATTCTATAATCTTGTGTTCATTCTTCCAAATGGAAAAGGTAAAGCGGACCTACTAATATTCTTTTCCAATATAATGTGCCCCCCCTATTTTTTTTCTTCTCCAAAGAGCTAGCGTGTGACTTCAACGATAAAAATCTGACCGAAATTTAATACTCTTACCAAATTATTCTATATTTATTTGAGGACTGTCATCTGATTTTGTCTTTTGATCCATATACATGAAAAAATGAGAAAATATCCAGTCGAAACAAAGTTTCAATAGAAGGTGCTGGAAAAAATAGCATCACGATTTTCCAAATCATATAAATTCATATTCACTCGGGAGCTACCAAATATAATTTGGCATCAATTTCATATTTTCACATGTTTTAATTGTTTTGTTGCTAGTTTTGTTTTTTATAGTTTGCAATCACAACAGAATTTGAAACTGAAATTTTACATGTTTGTGTTACATCAAATCTCTGTCGCATTGTACTATAGTTAATAATTCTTTGAATTATTTGAAACATGATTTTCACTTAGTTTCCATCGATTTCCTTTGAACACAGCGGACACGGGCCCCAAGGGAGGGAGCATAGGCATTGGCGATGTATTTTACGGCTGCGATTTTTTGCTTTCAGATTTTTATGATAGAACAGCTATTGGAGGCGAAATTCTCCTTCTACACCCGAGCTCAACAATTAACAAATGTTGAAAAATATTAGTAGAGCTACTGATTTTGTTTTTCTTTTCACCACTTCTGCAAATGTGATTTCATGTTGAAATTTTGCAAGCTCTTAGAACATTTTTGAAAGTTTACAATAAAAAAATTCAGTTTTTCTGAACATTTTTTAAATATTCTTTGATTTTATTGTTCAGCCGAGCTCATTTGAGCTCGGGTGCAAAAACTTCACGTCCTGTTGGAGGCTGTTTTTGAAACATTATTTTCACTTAGTTTCCGTCGGTTTTCATTGAAGGCAGCGGACATGGGTGACATGGGAGGGAGCACCGGCATTGGCGATATATTTTAGGGCTGCGAAAAAAATTCTCAGATTTTTATGAAAGAACATTGTTGGAAGCGAAAGTCCCCTTCTACACCCGAGCTCAAATGAGCTCAGGATGAACTGTAACTCAAAAACATTTAACAAATGTTCAAAAATATCTGATTTTTATGGTAAACTTTGACAAATGTTCTAAGAGCTTTGAAAATTTATCATGAAATCACATTTGTGAAAGTCGTGGGGGAAAAAGCAAAATCGATACTCTGAATTCACATTCGAGAAAGTCATGGATTCAGAGTATCGATTTTTTTCCCACGACTTTCACAAATGTGATTTCATTATGAAGTTTATCAATTTTGTTTTTTTCCACGACTTTCTCAAATGTGATTTCATGATGAAATTTTACAAGATCTTAAAACATTGGTCAAAGTTTATCAAAAAAAAATTCATTTTTTTAACATGTGTAAATTGTTTTTATATTTTACTGTTCACCGAGCTCATTTGGAGCTGGGGTGCAAAAACCTCATGTGAGGCTGTCTTTTGCCCTGCAGTGCCTAAAAACTGCCAGTGCCCTATTTTAGAGCAGCTCTTAGGGGATGTGGGAGTCTTTCGCGATATGGTTTGCTTTTCCAATACTACTACTTCCTCCGTTCCTAAATATAAAGCTTTTTAAAGATTTCAATACCGACTACACACGAATCAAAATGAGATAATATACACTCTAAAATATATCTAAATACATCTATATGTTGTCCGTAATGAAATTTCTAAAAAGACTTATACTAAGAATACTAGGCCCGTAAGGGTTCCTTTTTCCTGGTTTTTTTGGAAATTTTTTTACCGTGTTTCTTTGATTGACGCGTGTACAAGATGGTGTCCTAGGGTGTCATTGAGTTGATTTTTTCCTGCGGTCACGTTTTGTTCACTGTTGACATTGTCATGCTGTGTGCTCTTGCTTATTGACACATGTGGTGTGGGGTCTCCTAGAAGGTTCATCTTTTCCTTAAAAAAGTTTGGTTGACTGTGTGATGGGATGGCTGAATTCATGTGGCCGTTCTAGAAGTATGTGGATTGGTGTTGTTTCACATGCCTTTGCATGGCTCATGCATGTGGCCACGTTGGCTCCATGCATAGTTGACTGCCTATGCCATCAATTGACACGTTGCTCTCTGGTCTTTTCTCGTGGGTTCATTTTGTTTTCTTCTCTTCTTTGGGTGCCCATAAGTACTTCGTTGTCCGGTCTTCGCTTAGTGTCATATCCCTCTTGTTGTGTCCTTCCTGTTCGCTTGGTACAGCGTATTTGCTCCACGCCGTTGGGTTCCTTTTCCTCGGTTGGTGCTGCTGATGGGAGGTAGCTTGCTCAAGATGGTTCTGTTCAGCACATGCGGAGTCGTCGTCGGTGCGCTCGACCACGGCAAGGAGGGTGTCAACCCCGTGGACCACGCGGGAGCAGGATCAGCGTCGGACATGTCCTCGTCGGGCGCCCGTTCGTGGCACACGCCAACGTCGCGGCCAGCCACAGAGGACGCCCTCATCTCTCCAAGGGAGTGACACAACATCGCCGACGCGGCAGGGCACGGACTGGACGCTCGGGCTCGGGCTACCCCGGCTCCTCGGCGGCTCCTCCTCCATCGCGACGGGCGGGCGACTCGACCTGGTGATTGGTGATGAAGGTGGCGAGGGCCATGGCGAGTAGGACGTCAACGCCGTGGGCCTCGCGGGAGCAGGATCTGCGCTCGGCCCCGTTGTCCGTGGCACACCCCCTACTCACGGCCAACCACAACGGACAACGTCATCTCTCCATGGAGAGGCACGCCGTTGCCGACGCGGCTGCACGGCCGGGGCACTCGAGCTCCGCCCCCTCTTCGGCGCACCCGCCCGCTAGCTCGGCGGTTCAATCTCGGGCGTGACTGGTCTCCGAGGCAGAGTCGTTGTCGGCACACTCGACCTGATGGATGGGGACGGCAAGGGCAAGGAGGGCATCACGGACGAGCTCAGGCACCTTGACTTCTTCTTCCGTCACCCCACGCGCTGTGTTGATCCAATCCTCCATTGCTCAGATTTGTGTTCGCGAGCTGCAGGTTTCAGGATGCTCATCGACATGTACAGACCGTCCTCCACCTGATTTGTCTCAGAAGTCTCGAATCAAAACTGTGGTTCACATCGTAAGCGTCGAGCACTCTGATTGATTGCTTCCTCTGCCTATCTTGACTGTCCGCAAAGGTTGACCTACTCTGATTGATTGCTTACTGTCTTCACTGACATCAATGGTCGATCTCTATACATATGCAGGGTCTTCTATCTACTGGCAAAAGAACTCAAAGCATGCTATATTGTTA